TAATAATAATAATAATAATAATAATAATAATAATAATAATAATAATAATAATAATAATAATAATAATAATAATAATAATAATAATAATAATAATAATAATAATAATAATAATAATAATAATAATAATAATAATAATAATAATAATAATAATAATAATAATAATAATAATAATAATAATAATAATAATAATAATAATAATAATAATAATAATAATAATAATAATAATAATAATAATAATAATAATAATAATAATAATAATAATAATAATAATAATAATAATAATAATAATAATAATAATAATAATAATAATAATAATGGTGATAATAATAGCAATAATAAATGAAGGACAATGACCTCTTTAACAATACCAATACACTACAAAAAAAATATATATATATTATTTATGAAAAAAAATATATTATTTATGATTAGTATAAAAGCCTTCTATTATTCCTCAACGCCCAACCAAAACACAGCAACAAAAGCTCAAGTACACACATATGATTGCCATGTGTGCATTAAATGAGACAATCACTGCCAGCCTGTCTTCTTTTTGTCAGCCTTTTCCGTTAAGATCCCGTTTGGTAGGTTCTCCCTTTCCATAATATTCTGTGTATTAAAAAATAAATAAAATAAAAAGTACTAATACTATATCAATCGTGGGATTCCCCCCACATACTCAAAAGGTATCCCTCGCATTTGCCACATGTCCCGTTAACAAACAAACCCGAGGTGGCAGCCGCCCTCTTGAGTTTGGGCCCCAAACCGGCCCCACCAAGTTTAAGGTTGTGCCTATATTCAACTGCAACCTGCTCAAATACTTCAACCTCAAACATGTTCAGTTTCGGTTTCGGTTTCATTTTGTCCCTCACGTACGCAAACGCCAGTTGATCTCTCGGATTGAATGCTTCCAATTCATTGAACATTAGGCAACAGAATAGATTTGTCGCTAAACTGTGCTTCCTCAGTATTAGTGCACTATCCGGCACATCTGCATATTTTTTTTTTGTCGCAATATAAAATTACCAACAAAAATAAAGTCAGAACGGAAATTGGAGAATTAGTAACTATCCTCGTTTAAATACATAAAAAAAAGAAGAAGAATAAATTCACTAATCAAGGAAGAAACCTTTTCTTAGAAACTACTCTTTGTGTAGTTGGTAGAAGTGATTATTATGTTTCCAATACACACACTCATCATTAATCGAAAAAATTAGTGCTCTAATAACACGCAATTACGAAACAAAAAAACGTTTCGGTTTGTACCTGTGGGATAAGGCTTATTTGAGTTCCATGGTTGTAAGCCATTCTCACAATAAGTCTCCATTTGAATCTTTAATCCATTAACATCCCACCATTTCTTCCATCTAGCTGTCGCCATCGCCTCTTCCATAGTGTGCACGAAAAACGGATGTTTCGAAATAGAGATATCGACATTCTCGTTCAAAACCAATGAATGGATCAAGAAAAGTGGATCGACCACTAACTGCAGCTTTGCATCGACCCATATACTGTATTTCGTGTTCGGGAAAGACGGTGGTGG